ATATATACCAAGACCGGGTATGCAATCCTATGGGACTCTTCCAAGTACCTTTCCGGGTCTATGTTCCGCAAGCTGGGAGAAAGATCGTCGATCTTCAGAGGAGCACCGTGGATTGGGCATAACATTCGCCTATCGAAAAAATGGGCATATGCATATATTGGAATCAAAGCCGAGATCGCATGATTAAAAATGACCCTGCATATGCGAAATGTCTTGGTTGAAGCTCGACATAATATAATGTGACTTCAGGTATATAGTAAAGAATGAGCCCTCAATTGACCAACCCCCCAGGCCACAGGTGGGATATGTGGGTATCAATGGCATGTTTGGTCTACCTCCCTGTACAGCTGTATATTATTTAATTTACGTAGATATTTTGTTCTTACTTGCCGACAAGATGGACGTTGGAGTACTGGCTGCACTGGTATAAGGAAAGACATACTGTAATATATTCTAATATGGCATTGTTTTAATCAATATATATAGCTTAGATGAAGCTTTCACTGTAAATATATATATATTTAGAGTATGTAGTAGGATTGAGATAGCCGCATTCAGGATCATTACTTTTTGGACACAACTTATATATATACTACCTATAGACAAAGATAAACTGTCAGCAGTCAAAAGTTCCTTCCGTCGGTATCTCCTTTATATACAGATCTAGAATTACTCACTATAGGCATATATATATAGCGTTCAAACGTAATTATATATATGATAAGTTGCAAACGTCTCTGTAAATAAAAAAATAAATATAGCAATGACTTAAAGGCCAATCAAAGTCAGCCCATTAAGACCACCATATGTGCACGTCATATGTACATGTGCCTATATCGTAAAGAAACATAGTAGGTACAGTCAACGTATAGAAGTCCATGATTTCATCACCACGTGCCTAGGCCAACTGCTGGGATAGGTGACCTAAACTGTTGACTTCTGACTCGGATCTGAGCATGCTGATTATTTAAGCATGAGGGACGAGCAGAGTACTAAAACCCCTCGCGCGCGGCTATTTATGATAAATGCGGCGACTTTTCAAATCATATGGTCTCACTCGCCTATTAGTCGCCTAGGTATCAGCGGCTAGCTAATTAATTCACTACATGTAGCTATAGCGCTAACGTACTGCATATGATAAATCAATTTATCTTACTGTTAAAATGAGTAATTTACATGATAAGATTTTGTTTTCCACGATCGAACTAAGTGGGTGTCATGGTTATATTACTGAGTATATATTGGGCCGGTGCGTTTAGCTGAGAAGAAGCGAAGGAGGGTAAATCTAGTTTGGGGTAAAAGATTGGATTCACGTCATGTATAACCGCGGCCGTCACATATCACTTTGCGGTAAAGTACATACTCGTAGTTTTTTGACGTTTCCGGACGCGACCACTATTGCATGCCATACAAAAGATAGCCTTGGCGGGTTTTTTCTGTGTATGCAATAGCAGTTGCGTCCGGAAACGCTGTGAAATTGCGAGTACATACCTACTCGGACATATATCCCCGGAGAGTTTTATTGGGTAATAATTTCAGCTCACTGTATGTACCTACATTTCAGATCCCCGCGTCCTAGGAATTCCAGTAGCAAAATGAAATTTCCCAGCAGCACGCTTTTTTCCGTCAATAAACAATATTTGAACATCTACTACACGTATAATTAATACCAACTCTGCCAACGTCCTACTTAATTTTGTATCACTTTCAATTATGGTGGTGGTCAAGCCTTAAGAAAGCCTAAGAGATCGTCGATCATGATAGAAATTGTTGGAAACGATGATAGCTTTTTATTGATTGCTCGTGCTTGATTACAGCTAGAAGAGAGTTCGTTGACCACAACCCTGGTAAGTATTGACATCGAACCTCTTTACCCGTCCTCACTCGTCCTAACCCGTCCTACCGTAGTCATCCTGTCCGTACGTATACCTCAAACTAATAGGCAGCATAGGACGCTCGATTTCAACAGAAATAAACATTCATGAGTAGATTAAGGAAGCCGCAATTTAATTAAGATGGCTATGACCGGCCGTTATATTAATACTACATGTATTTATTATACTAATCGTATACGCGTACTTTGAGAATTATCTGGAGCTGCGGGCGGCTCTAGTGTTATAATAACGGGCTACATGTAAATACATGTAGCTACAGTAGCAAAAAAAGGGGGTGTGATTCGTGCCGTAGAAATACCGTAGGAATGCCGCATTTTGTCAAGCTATGCGCATTTTGACAAATTCCGACTTAAAGCCGCACTTTTGAAAATCAATTATTGATATTAGTACTTCAGAAATACGGCATCACTGCCTCTGTTCCAGCACCATCTGCCTCTGTCACCCTCAGGCGTGACAGTAACACTTCATGACAGGGGAATAAGATTGTTCGGTCATGATCAACACCAACCCATTCTCGTGATCATCACCATCAACCAATCAGAATTATCAATATCATCCTGAGCACATAGTAGAATAACTGTTTCATCATTTAGTGAATACCCGAGGGACAAAAATTATTTTTTAAAAGTATTCCCCAACTCTCTTTAGCCCTTTGATGAGGGATCAAAGATGACCGAGATATTGATGAATTAATTTATTGTTATTTTGATAGGTGTAATGCCTCATGAGAAGAAAATATTGCATGTAATCAGCAAACTATTTCATACAAAATAATACATGTACCTTTTTTTGGCAGTGTACAGCCCGGAAAACGCCCGGAAACCCCGGAAATGCATAGCATTTAGTAGCATTAGTAGCAATGCTGCATGCGCATAAATGCGGCATTCAAGACAAATACCGTACTGCAGCAAATATTTGATTTCTATCTATACCATAGTACATAGAATACCGCACAACTCTTTTTTCTGCGGCACGGATTACACCCCCTTTTTTGCTACTGTATGTAGGTACTCTACATGTATATTGTAAGTACATCTCTATGTAGGTATATTGTACTCTATGTAGCGCAGGAGATAACAAGGTGTATTACAGTACTAAAAAACCATTATACCGTAACCTCGCGGTATTCTGCTAGATACATGTACCTAAGGTACTGAATCCGCACATTTTTTTTGGTACTGTAGTATATACAGAGTACTTACATGTATACAGGGAGTACATGGACTGCGTCTGTTGCTTAAAAACATATCCATATCCAACATGCATCCCATCATGCATCCCATCAAAGACACGCGTTTAATGTTTAACAGGGCGTATAAGTATCCCAGTAAATACATGTATGATTAGGTTCGGACCCACTGTGATGGATCCTGGGAATTAGAGTACTCTACATGTATGTAGAGTATGTGGGTTTTATGTATGTACCTACATGCACTTCCTAGTAGTACTCCACATATGTACTCTACATATGTACCTAAATACCCCTGGGAATATATATTGTAAGATATGTCCAACATGGTCGGCAGCTATGGAGCGACGCCATGAGATGTAGACTTTGGCGCAGCTAGTAGGTAGTCTACCGGATAATTTCCATACCCCACCCATTATAATTACGGGATCAGTAGTGGCACGCCAAACAGCTCAGAAGGTCTCCTATTGTCTCAGGTGATGTCCAAAATTAAAAATCAAGTTTAAAACACAATCTAGATACCGGTGAATTCCGATTAAACGATGGTTGCTAGGACGATCTGATTGAGGATGTGATCTGGATCCATGGAGTTGAGCATGAGGCTCAGTTTTAGCGTTTGTTTAGAGTGACTGGGCTTCCGTGGTTCACATCTATGCGGATGCTTATTTTGGGAGCTGCTACCGCTGCAAGTGTTATCGGAAGGTTATAAATTTTTTAGCTGAATACTCTACATGCGGTATGCATGTCCCACTGCCATAATAGAAACTCTAGATCTAGAGTAGAGTGTATGTAAGCAATTCATGCAGATAGGTAGGCCGGTTGTTGTTCAGGCGCGTGGTCATTAGGTTGCTAGCTGTTCATTGTTTCCTGCACGCTTGCTGGCAGATGCAGTGTTTTTCGAATGTGCTTTGAGACCCGAAATTCGAAACCTTTCAGCATTCTCTTAGCAATTATAGGGACGTTAGGAATTCATGGCGCTTAATGAAGGTCCAGGAGCTGACGCAGTCGTGGTTGGTTTATGTCTTGAAACTAGGTAGCTTGGTCCCAGGAAAACAGCCGAAAAAAAAAAAAAAAAGTCCTGTCTGTGCACCAGTATGCATCGTCGACTGCGGCTGGGGAGAAATGGATGCCTGTACGTACATACGTATGAAGTCCAAGTGTGCCTAAGCAATAACTGGTACCATTGCGGCCCGCATACCTAGAAGATATCTTATGTGCTTGAGCTAGGTACTCTAGCTTGGTTCTGACGTGGGCCTATCGGAGCTTTGATAATTCCTGCAGATACATACTCTACCTACATCAATCCACATCAGCTTTCTTTCCCTCATGATCACTTCTTCTTCTTGTCTTCAAGTTCATCTGAAGGTACACAATATTGTGTGATTAAGTTTCCCTACACTATAGCCGATACGCTTCTTGAAATTTTTCATCAATTCCAAATCGGGGGGATAGCGGAACCAAGCTGTGATTGAAACAAGAAAAGAGAAAAACGCTCAGGTACTAGCCCGGAGGAAGAGAACTAACTGAAATCCTTATTTTGTATCTTCCACGAAAGTTTGTTTGGTCTTTTTGTTGAAGCACAATACCGCCCGCTAGCTGAGTAGCTGGTGCTTTTGTACGCCTACACGTCGTTAAGCGTGCTGCCAGCTCACCAAAGCCAGCGTCATCTTTCTTATCTATTATTTTCAGCCTTCCTTTGACTGGCCTCTTCAAGTTAGCAGCCCCTTGGATCCACCACCAATTCACATACTCTCGTTCGTTCTTTAACTCCCCTCGACTTACACCTTCAATTCCCTCTCGTTCTTATCACCTAACCACCGTGTTCTGTTTCTGTTCCCATCTCGGCCTGGCTGCATTCTTTTTTTTTTTTTTTTTCATTTGAAGCGGAGGTGGATTAATTCTGCGCGGTTAGAAACATGTTGCACTCTCCAGAAGCTGTGCTCAAGGCGTCTAGTGTCATACACTATATCTACCCTCCCGCGTTGTTTCTGTGCTTTCTCGTCATGCAGGGCATTACGGTTTGCACCATGAAGAACTTGAAGGCCCCAAACAAGATCGTACGGAGGAACCTGATCCTTGGGATTCAATCTTTCGTTATAGTTACATATGTAAGCCTCAATGGTTGATAATGTCAGTACTGAAGGTTATTTTCTAACCGGGATTCTTAAATTTTAAAGGTCGCAGAAGCTGTATTGTTGCTTGCTAGATCTCTGGTTCAGAAGGGGTGGTACAGTCCCGAAGACCATGTCGTAAGTAACGAATCGCTGGATTTTCTCCACTTCAATTAAATAGTGCTGAGACTATAATATCATTAGGTTTATGTACTCTCCGCAATACTAGCATGGGGTGCTATAGAACTTGCTCTTCTCGACAGCGTAAACACCGTCTGGTATCCCTATTACGGATGCTGGGTCCTATCCCTTATCACGGAAATTTGTTTGATCATCCTTCCCAATTATTCCAGCGCACCGGACAACGCTTTCAAGAGGGCAAAGTCCATTATCCAAGCCATTAGGATTACTTTTCTTATACTGTTACCTGCCGTATTCTGGGGATTTCAAATATATGATAACAGGAAAGAGGCTGGTAATGATGAAGAGTCGGCTGGGTTGCTCACACGCAATAATAGTAATTCGGGTGGAAGTCGCTTATATGGCACTGCTAGTCCGGAGTGTGTCGACGAGAGCGTGGAGACGAGGGAAGCCAAGGCGAGGATGCTTAAAAAAATTGAAGAAAGCGGTAACTGGTGGATATACGCCAAGTCTTTTGCTGTAAGTTCCGGATGTACTCTCTATTTTGATAGAAGTGACTTATATGATATCCCTCAAGATCTTTTGGCCTTATGTTTGGCCCAGCAAAGATGGGTGGCTTAAAATCTCGATGGTCTTAGTCGGCATATGTCTGCTTATCGAACGCGGTTTGAATGTCATGGTCCCTTATCAGCTCGGCGTTGTTACCAACGCTTTAGCTCATGGGAATGGTAAGCTCTTCCTTGAGTTGTAACATGATAACATGGCTCATGAAAATAGGTTCCATCCCATGGGTTCAGGTCTCCCTTTATGTTATGTATCGTTGGCTGGATTCCGGGTCCGGTATCTCAGCATTGCAAAGATATCTCTGGATGCCAATCGATCAATATGCTTACCGTTCCATCACGACTGCTGCGTATAACCATGTCATGTCACTGTCCCATGACTTCCATACCAACAAGAAAACGGGCGACTTATATAGCTCAGTCAATCAAGGAAGATCTGTTAATGGGTTTATCGAATCGGTTCTATTTTCAGTATTGCCAATGCTTGCTGATCTGTGCGTTGCTTTTGTATACTTTTACATAGCATTTAATTCGTATATGGCGTTGATTGTGGCGGTGGTTTCCATGGTTTATCTATGGGTCACTGCGAGACTCGGCGCAAGGAAGAACCAGATGCGAAGGGATTTCAACGCTGTAGGTGTTCTATCGACTTACTATTAGTCAATTGCTAAATATTCTCTAGGCGTCAAGAAAGGAGGCAAGTATAATGTGGGAAACTATGTCTAGTTGGACAACAGTAAGTGTAAGTTAGGACCTGTATTTCCGTTCAAAGTTTACTTCGGATGGAAGTCTAACGAAGTATTAGTACTTCAATCGCGTCCCTTACGAACAGGACCGATACTCGGAGGCAATTCGAAATTACCAGCGTGCCGAACGAAAGTGGGATATTGGTTTGCGTGTTTTGAATGTTGCACAGAGCCTTATCTTTACCATTGGCCTCCTAGCTGCCAGTTTCCTTGCCATCTACATGGTAACCATGGGACAAAGGCCAGTCGGAAGTTTTGTCACTCTGTTGTCCTACTGGGCTCAGCTCTCAAGCCCCCTAGCATACTTTGCCAATTTTTACCGTAGGATCCAGACGCAGATGCTTGATGCAGAAAGACTTTTGGAGCTTTTCCAAACAAAGCCCACCGTTGTCGATAAGCCAGGAGCAATGGACCTGAAGCTGATAAGCGGAGAAATTGAGTTCGAAAATGTAAAATTTTCATACGATCCTCGAAAGCCCGCTATAAATGGAATCAACTTCAAGGCCCCTGGAGGGTCGACTATCGCGCTGGTGGGCGAAACGGGTGGGGGTAAAACAACTTGTTTGAAGTTACTTTTTAGGTTCTTTGATGTGGAATCCGGGGCCATCAAAATCGATGGACAGGATATCAAAGATGTGACCCTCTGGAGCTTACGAGAAAATATGGGCGTTGTTCCTCAAGTATATATCTCTTAAAGCAACTGCTTTGGTTTTTCGGCGCAAGGTCTGACTGTTTACTTAGGATCCGGAGCTGTTTAATGACACCATCATGAATAATATCAGATATGCCAATTTTGATGCGACAGATGAACGTAAGTTTTTGCAACATGCCTAATCCCATGATCTTTCAAAGAATTTGCTCATCAATTAACTAGAGGTTTTTGCTGCTTGTCGCGCGGCATCGATTCACGATAAGATTGAAAGTTTTCCCGATGGGTATCTTTCTAAGGTCGGCGAGCGTGGTGTAAAGCTTTCAGGCGGCGAACTTCAAAGAGTATGCTTCCTGTAAATATTCAGTATTCTAGTACTAAGCGATTGTGCAGGTAGCCATAGCCAGGGCGATTCTCAAGGACCCGAAGATCATCTTACTAGACGAAGCGACCAGCATGGTCGATATGGAGACTGAGCGTCAAATCCAATCCGCATTTAAGGAACTCTCAATAGGTCGTACAATGTTTGTGGTTGCGTAGGTTTTCCCTTGTCCGGGCACAGATAGTTCAAGGATGAGTGCATTGTTATTGATAACGCTTTAATTCCAGGCATCGTCTTTCGACGATAATGAATGCCAACCTTATTATTGTCATCCAGGATGGCGGAATCCTCGAGAAAGGTAGTCATGATGAGCTCATCGAGCTAAAGGGCAAGTACTACCATCTATGGTCCAAACAAATGAAAAACGAGGGGCCAAAATCCAGTGCGGATCTAAAAGATATGGCCATGGTCAATGATCTTTCTCCAAAATCTCGAGAAGAAAAACTTAGGACAGCTCTCCAAAAAACAGGGGCTCGATTTCATACTGCTGATCCCTGCCTACTTGAAGACAATAAAATGGATGGAACTTCTAGTAGCTCCGGTATTTTTATGAAGAAAGATAAAAAGGCCGCGGTTGGAGAATCCGTTTCTACTCAAGCATCTGTAAGGTCAAACGGACATCCAAATGTTTCCTTTGCTACTCAGGAAACTCCTTCTCTCGGGAGATCACAAGATTCCCAGTTCCGTCCCCAGAACCTTTTCCGGGCCATGTCCCCGGCCCACAGCATCCTGAAGAATGTTGATATCCCAAAGCAGCCGGAGGGTCAGCTTTCATTTGCATCGCGTTCGGTAACTCCCAAGCTCTCGTCCTCACTTAAGCCCGATGCTAGAGAATTTATTCCGAACGAGGCCGTCCCCAGGGATATACCCCAGGAATACAACTCGATTCCACAACAAGTTCAAGTTGGGTTTACTCCCAAGGAGTCCTTTTCCATCAATAACAAGAACTTTACTGGTGATACCACTACGTCAGTATCTGTTCTGACAAATGAAGATTCAAGGTCAGAAAAAACATCGAATACCAATCAGGAATCTGAAGCCCATGAAGAAGACCAGGGTGTTATTGTGCAGAATGTCGAGGATAGGATCGATGAAGCCCTCAAAATCGCCGAGGAAAAGATGAAAGAACTTGAAGGAAGGGATGGGGGGGGGACATACATCAAAACACCAATTTCCTCCTCAAAGAACGAAATTCATGAGGAAGATGGTCAAGATGAACAGCCTACCTCTCCTCTAATGGAGACTCAACCCGACGCTGAACTTAAAAAGAAGCGCCGAAGGAGCCGTCGAAGAAGTAATAAGTCAAAGTCCTTAGTGGACGCATCGATGGAGGATCAAGATGCCGGCGGTGTCATCGTCACCGGATACCCTGAGCCCACCCCAATTACCACTCTACCCAGTGATACTAGCAATGTGCCTCAAATGGTTTCTATTTCTCCACGCCCCGTAAATGATGGAGGGCCCTCAAATGTCATCGGAGGAGATCTTAATTCCACAGCCTCTGGTCTCGAGAAGAAGCCAAAGCGCCGCTTCCGTACTAGGCCTTCAGCTAAACCGCAGAGTCCTAAAGCTGAAACTGAAAATCAGGAACCAGGTCCCCACCGGGGTTCTACTCCTTCTAACGAGGTATCCTCAAGGCAATTTAAAGGAAAGGGCAGAGCTAGTTCTTTCATCGATGGTGATTATCGTTCTATAACGAGAGAAGATACCCGTCCTTCCCCAAGAGATGGACTGCAGACTTCTATCCATTCTAACCAACCTGAACAATCGGCATCTAATAATGGAACCATCCCTAAAGGCCCAGGCCGACGAAAGACCTGGGGGAGGTCTTATGGTTCAAAGTCCACAAATAATTGGAGGAAACCAGACAGCGAGGGCCCTGGTGATGGGTCGCAAGGTAGTTATCGCAAATATTCGAACGAATCACCTGGCGCTTGATATAGGGTAGGGGTTTGCCTATAAATCCTTTTGTTATTGTTCAATGCTTCCAATACATGTGGAACCAGTTGTCAGGTTTGGAAGGCTTGTTGATATATATCCTGCATTGGTTCATTCCTGGGTCTTTTTTCGTTCGTCTGTGTTTTTCACCCGTGTTAAATTTAAAGGTTTTTCTTTTTCTCTTCGCCCCACTTATACTTCTGTGGGGTCTGTATTTCTCTATTACTATCCCATTTGTGAGCTTTGATTTCGAAAAGCTGATAGAAAAAATTGATTCTGTGTATCCCTCGTGTGGTTAAAGGTTTGGGGGTTATCTGTTTTCAAAACCAAATGAAATTTAGGGGTATTAGTTAGCCTGGAAGGTCTAAAAGCTGGGCGGCTTTCATAAACTCTTGTTTCTTCTTAATTTCCCCTTATTTCAGACATGTCTCCCTTACTGCTGTTACCTGCTGGATGGCTAAACTAGCGCGATAGTTGCTATGAGCATGAGATACGTAGGTTTTAGAAAACCAAGATTCTTTCTCTCGTTAATTTAGTGGAGATGGGCTTTTGTCCATGTATAGAGCATTTTTTTCCGTCTGATATAGATAAAGGACCGTGTACTGTGGTAGTATTTGTCGTGTGTCAGAGTGAGTAACAACGAGGACGAAGGTAATGAAGAAAGCTCTCAATAAAATACCAAAATACCATACATGCACATATCAGAGGTCAGGCGGGGCCGACGTGAGGGGGCGCAAAAGACTCTGTGGACATGGGCCAATTGATCCGCCTGCGCGGCTAGATGAAGAATTAGGTTCCTTCTCGCGGAGTTGGAAGGGATTACATATGTACACTAATTGTGCTTGTGATCGAGATCAAAAATATGATATCGATATATAGTGGTAACTATATGAGCCTCGGATGAACTGTGGGTTAGTGCGGTCGACTCGAGCACACCGAATGGTAGAGTACATGTAGATACATACAATTATTTGCTATACCGAAATTAAAGTTGAATTGAATTTGAGGGACTCTACCATTTATAGCCGTTGTCATAGATGATATCTGGTGAACCGAAAATTGCCCCAAGAGAGACCGGCCTTGGAAAATGTACAGCCGCATTCGAAAAGTACTGGCACCCTACTATATATATATATATATTGAGTCGTTCATGAATTGTAGCCTACCAACAACCATGGCACTCGCGCATACTCAAATTATTAACAGGTATGACCACAACAGAGACATTGCAGCTCTCTCTGACAACGGTCTCGAATATGAGAATTGCAAAGCAGAAAGGACCTCCTCGTGAGTTTGGCCTGGAGGTGCCAAAACTTTTTGAATGCGGCTGTACGTTGTAGATACATGTAATCGATTTCGTAGGTTAAGTACATGTACATTGGATGAGGTTACATACATCATGTATCACGTACTCGTATGTACATGTATATAGGTACCTATTAATCAGAATTTGAGTATATGTACATGTACATAAGTATGTATCTCTGTACACTTGGTCCATACATGTATTAATAGCAAGTTAACCCTATCCCAAAAATATTATAGAGCAGGTACATGTAGAGCTGGAACGAACGATCTACTACCGCAAAATCTCGAGTTATTCGGGGGGTTGCCAAGGCAAAAAGCTGAGGGTCTTCACCTTTAGAGGAAGAAAACAGCCCTCTTTTACTAAATGTTTAGCAGGTGGCCTTGGCAACCCCCCGAATAACTCGAGATGTTGCGGATACCGAAATGTTTCCCGACAGCACATCTCTTCATGTCTTAGCCAATCAAAGGCAACCCGATCAAAAGGCAACCCGATCAAAATTATCGCGGATGCAGGGGCCAATTCCGCACCACATGCATCGTAGTTTGCGTGCGGCCCGCACTGGCGATGCGGGGTCAGATACATAGAGTACAGGCATTATTACGCAAACCGATATGTACCCTACATGTAATTGGCTGCTTGACGCGATATAGTTTATTTTAGGTTTCGGGTGGGACACCGTCTTGCACGTTATCAACGAGCACGTAATTTCCAACTAAGCATCCCCCACGACGCGTCTCCTTTGTTTGGCAAAGTATTACTGTACAATGACCACGCTCCAACAATTGCAGACTTCATGTCTGGGTCTGCTATTCTCAACACAAGCGCACAAGGTTGGATTTGCCCGGTTGGGAGTCCAGGAGAATGTTAATATCCTGAGCGAGCAAGAGCAGTACCTGCTGGGGCTTTACGACCGGCTAGGAGAGGTCTGCCTTGAGCGAAGGGTACTGGTGGCAGAATTGGAGGGTGATGGTTCGTTTTCCCCACCTTCTCTGCGTGAGCCAATCATTGAGATGAGACTAATATGTTGGTTTTGACTTAGACACATCAACTGCACATGAGAGCGAGGAAAATCTCCAGGAGAGGACTGAGGTAGCGGAAAGCGAGCTTCTGCAAAGCACGGCAAAGACACAGATGAAAGACAAGGTCCTCGAGACGACCCTCATCACCCACCCCATCTTGAAGGCGGTGCATTCCGGCGCAGGGAGCACGGCCAAAGAACGGTCCGTATATTGCTTTCCTGCTCTATTGTAGATCACATCAGGTCTAACATTGTATGTATAGGGCCTTACTGCCCCTCATCCAACGCCGCGACATGCTCTCACTCACGCACGCGAACCTCTCCCAAGTTCTCACTTCCACGCTCGACAACATCTCGCAGACGCAGGCAGCAATTGAAGATGCGCGGGAAACCAATAGGCAGCTCGCTGCAAGATTACTGGCGCTGACTGAGAAGCGGAAGAAGGAAAGAAGGAGGGTTGCGGGAGAGAGAGATGAGAGATACAATGAGTCTGAGAAGGATCTAAAAAATGCGAAGGTTAGGTGGGAGATTATGAGGAATGCGGTACAGGCCATCATCGTAGGAAGTGGGGTGGACTGGACTAGTGATGCGAGACTGAGGAAAACGGTACTAGCGTGTGGTGAGGATGTGAGGGATGATGATTGATCGTTGTGGCTTTCTAGGCGTTATTTCACTTCCAGGTGTTTTAGCTAATTAGGGATTGCCACCCGCTTAATTCTTGCCTTAATCTCCCTAAATTAAAGTCAGAAGTACCCCTTTTCCCTCTCCCATAACATACAGATTAACTAGCGTATATTGCAATGGGGAAGTCTTCACGTGAATTTGGGTCATATACCATCACTCGACTAGGTATAAAATCTTAAAGGCGTTATCATTTTTTATTAGGTACTATCGGCTACTCTATCTACCTCTTAAATAAACGATAATCGCCCGTTAAAATAAGTTCACTTATTATACTATGTCAAGCTCTAGATTAACAACATAGTACCAGCCACTACCTTATAATCCAGCCGTGGTACATACTACGCACAGAAATACAAATGCAAAAAGCTAAACTAATATAATTATGCATCTCTACCACACGTTTCATTTCGCCAATCACCTCTGGGGAATGTACTTTAAGCAAGGAGGCTGTAATTGGTTGGGTACATATCATGATCACGTGTACTGTGAAACCCCGCAGTTAATAAGCCTAGGTAGTCTGCATCCACTACCAGTGGTATTATCCGCCCACATTAGATCACTAGATTATTGTCACCGTTACCGTCGCCATCACGTTTAAACATCATTATGGAAGGGCTAGGCATTGCGGCAAGCCTCATCGGTGTTATTCAACTTACTGGAAAGGTCTCTTCTCTGGGTTACGGTTATATTAGCAAAGTTGGTCAAGCGCAGCAAGACATCGAAAATTTCCTCAAAGAGCTTACTTCTCTTGAGAAGTTCCTTGAACTTATTGACAGTTATGTCAAAGCAGGCTCAGCAACATCTGATGCACTACAGGCATTAGACGAACCGCTTCGCACATGTAGGCGAGAGCTGAAGAACTTAGAGTTAAAGCTGAAGCCTAAAAAAAAAAAAACGGCATGGTTCAGAAAGAAAATGGGGTTAACCTCACTCATGTGGCCTTTAAAAGAGAAAGAGGTCACTGAGATAATAATAAAGATAGAGAGGAATAAAACCTCGTTTCTTTTGGCACTGAGTTTAGACAATATGTAAGCATGAACTTTACTCTCTTCCTGCTGAAAACCCTTACTGATGTCACTGGGAATAAGTTCGCAGCTTCGGGCCAACTTAATAGCCCAGAGCTCTTCGAGACAGGTCGAAGATTCCGCTCGTGCAGGTATGCGAATATTTTCTAATTTCTGCCATCAATCAATCATGTCACATCCCTCTTAACAAGCAAGCTTTGTATTGTCGTTGGATATCATCCGCGAAGGGTATATGAGTAGTGTTCGAATTTTATGCTTATATATCTGGGGAAATGTAGAAGAAACACGCAAAAAAGCTCTTAATTGGCTGTACTCCGGAGACTTCGAAAAAACACATACCCAGATTGGAAGCGTGAGACAAAAAGACACTGGTGGTTGGCTTTTAAGATCTCAAAGTTTTCAAAAACTGGTCAGAGGGGAACAGGGCTCTAGGCTTCTTTGGGGTTTTGGGATTCGTAAGTAATACAAGCTGTCAATCGAAGAGTTTATATACAAGGAATTTTAACGAGTGGCCCAATAGCTGGAGCTGGCAAAACATTTTTGAGGTTTAACCCCCCCCCCTCTAACCCCAAACGAAAGGGAAAAGTCTAAATGCATGATATCTACTAGCTTCGCCGTGGCAGATCATTTCCTATCTCAGGCACAGCAGAAAGGCTATGGAGTAGCTTATTTCTATTTCAACTACAAAGAAAAGGCGCAGCAAAGTCCTGATGTCGTCATCGCTAGTCTTTTAAAACAACTTGCTAGCCAGTTGGTACATTTGCCCGAAAGAATTTCAGAACTATACAAGCTAGAAAAGGAAAATAAACGTCCCACTTTAGACCAACTAGTCGAAGTCCTTCTTGCAACTTTCAAGTTGTTTGGTCAAGTGTTTATAGTCTTCGACGCCCTGGACGAGTGTGACGAAGATTCCCAGCGGGGGAAGCTCCTTCCATTGTTTCATGAGATGGCGGGTGCGGGGGCCGGCTTATTCATCACTAGTCGTCATCACCCAGAGGACATTCAAGAATCGTTCAAAGAGGTGGCCAAGATTGAACTTTCGGCAAAAAGTGACGATATAAAAAGTTATATAGAAGAGAGGATTGAGAAGAATGCAAAGGCGAAACGACTGGTTCATGATGGAAAATTTGGGAATCGTATAGTCTCGCAGCTGACCAAATGCGCCAATGGGATGTATGTGCTTGAACCCAAACCCCTCCATCTTTACAATAGAAATATATATACATATATATTCTAAACCATTACTACTTGCATAGGTTCTTGGCAGTGCGGTTCCATCTTGACTACCTTTGCCAACAGACCACAGTCAAGCAGGTTTTCACCGCACTCGAGACCTTGAAGGATCATATTGTTGGGGAGAACTTACTAGACCCTACTTATGATCGAGTCAAGGAAGCTATTGTAAATCAGCCGAAGAATTGTGCAAGATTAGCAATTCGCATTCTTTCGTGGCTTGTACATACAAAGCGGATACTTACCATTAAGGAGATCCAGATTGCTGTCTCTATTGAGCCTGGGCGATACGAACTAGATGATTCAGACCTACCAGACATCAAAACACTTCTCGACGTGTGTTTTGGCCTGGTAAGCATCGATGAGAATAGCGGCACCATCAGGCTATCCCACCTCACAGTTCACGATTATCTCATGAGAGATCCCGTCATACTAAAAGACGCAATCCTTAATGTGGCTATTACTTGCACAACGTACAACTCTTTTAGTATTTTTGCCGAGTTGGTGCCGCGTGAATTTATAAATAGGGTGGATCTATGGGAGGCTCGGCTTGAATTGTATCCCTTCCTAGAATATAGCGCACTCTTCATGTCTTCGCACCTTAAATCTTGCGAAGAGGAGTCAACACAAGATGTTGTTCTTGCATTTCTCAACCGTTCGGGAAGCCTTAATTTTTGGGTTCTCGCTCTTTACTATTTCAAAGAAAAGAGACTAAGTCACTACCGGCACTATCCTATTTTTTCCAACAAAGACGGGGTGGAGGGGCTACCACTTGCTTGGCCATTCTCAAGCTCCTATAGTGAGGTTTGGACCCCTCTAGAAGGTGCATCTCGAATTGGCCACGCTCTACTAGTTCAGAGACTAGTAAGGGACGGGTATAATTCTCCAATCGCTGTGAGACTAGCAGCATCTGAAGGACACGGGGACGTTGTTAGGCTTCTACTCAATAACGGAGTAAATGTCTCTGATATTTCGGATCACGAAGGCAAACTGCCGCAGCACTTCGCAGCAAAAATAGGACTAGCAGAGACAGTGAATATACTGCTTGACTGGGGTGCGAACATCGAGGCCAAGGATAACTATGAGTGGACAGCACTCCTTTACGCGGCATCAAGCGGGCATGAAGCGGTCGTCGGACTGCTGCTTGATCGGGGTGCGGACATCGAGGCCAAGACTAGGAATTGGTGGACAGCACTCCTTTACGCGGCATCAAGCGGGGATGAAGCGATCGTCGGGCTGCTGCTTGATCGGGGTGCGGACACCGAGGCCAAGGATAGCAATGGGTGGACAGCACTCCTTTACGCGGCATCAAGCGGGCATGAAGCGGTCGTCGGACTGCTGCTTGATCGGGGTGCGGACATCGAGGCCAAGGATGAAGATGAGTGGACAGCACTCCATTGCGCGGCATTACGCGGGCATGGAGCGGTCGTCGGACTGCTGCTTGACCGGGGTGCGGACACCGAGGCCAAGAATAGCAATGGGTGGACAGCACTCCATTGCGCGGCATTACGCGGGCATGGAGCGGTCGTCGGACTGCTGCTTGATCGGGGTGCGGACACCGAGGCCAAGGATAGCAATGGGTGGACAGCACTCCTTTACGCGGCATCAAGCGGGGATGAAGCGATCGTCGGGCTGCTGCTTGATCGGGGTGCGGACACCGAGGCCAAGGATAGCAATGGGTGGACAGCACTCCTTTACGCGGCATCACGCGGGCATGAAGCGATCGTCGGACTGCTGCTTGATCGGGGTGCGGACACCGAGGCCAAGGATAGCAATGGGTGGACAGCACTCCTTTACGCGGCATCACGCGGGCATGAAGCGATCGTCGGACTGCTGCTTGATCGGGGTGCGGACACCGAGGCCAAGACTAAGAATGGGTGGACAGCACTCCTTTACGTGGCATCACGCGGGCATGAAGCGATCGTCGGGCTGCTGCTTGATCGGGGTGCGGACATCGAGGCCAAGAATAGCGATGGGCGGACAGCACTCCGTATCGCGAGGGCGAACTGCAGGAATAAGGTAATTGACCGACTTCTTGAGGGTGCCAGTAAACCCTCGTCGTAAATCGTAACGGATATAAAGAGGCGGGTGCAGGTGTTTCGTATGTACATGTGGTGTGTTTGGGCGGGTGAACATACTCGTTTTATTTCATTACTTTTTTTCTCGAAGGAAATTTCTTTTATCTTCTATCTCCTGTTTACCCTGTTACTAAGCCACGATATTAGCACATTGATTTTTATGGGTCTTTTTAACATCTGATGGATCATTGTTACTGAGAGTATTTACGGGAGTTCATGTCGGGCCATATATAATATATACATACATGGACCGTCCCCAGCTTTAATTTACAACGACATCTCATAACGCCTAATATTTATACAGCTCCACCATATTTGCCACTCTATTGCTACAAGGTCTCTTTAGTATTCCACCGGAAATCTGGATCAAGAGATATACTACACATACATAACCCTCCCTATAAGCATGGAGAGCAAGCCTACAAAGTATGGCGCACCTCGGGGTGTTTCTCGTCTTTAGATATAACATACTCTTTTCGGCGCCAGACCCCTCTGCTATATGAACCTACTTATCTATCACTGGCCCATTCCACCACCTGGCCTATCAGAGTATACGGACAGATTAATACCCAAGCTCGTAGGGTAGCAAATTTATCCAAGCTATCATGCCGGTTGTTCGAGTGATTACCCATGACTTGCGTTGTAACAACAAAAACGACCCCTTGCGCAACTTAGGGCATAGACCACCATAACATAGCTACATGTAGTCTTCCATTGGCCTAGTAATATGACGAGATAAAGCGAAATCATGAAAGGATTCGGCCGCAGGTTTTCCTGGGATTTGCTTGCATTTATAGACGAGTAGAAAAAAAAGAGTATGCAGTACAGTAACCTCTCGCTATAAGGATATGCCTTAGATTCATGATATGAGCGCCTGGTCCGGCAAACCCTTGAGGATATTTCCCTATGAATACTTTGTCTCTTTGCGACAAGCTATAGAAAGTGGTTCCGCCCGCACACCATAACCTAGCCCCGGTCTGTGCAATACTGAACCCGAGCCTTCTACATAAGCAACCTTTTCTTTGCTCTCCCGCATAGAGTCCAACCAGAGGTTGGAGAAAAAAAGAAAAAGAAGTATATGTGGTTCCAGAGGGGGTCGAACCCTCGACCTTGGCGTTAACATTTATTATAATATTAGCACCACGCGCTAACCAACTGAGCCATGGAACCATACCTTCTGCACACCACTTAGCGTTTATAAACATATTGTTTCAGCACACAATGCTAAGCGAGTGATGCAGCATGACCCACCTACCCCCGCGCCAACAAAACCGAGCATTTATGGTTGTGGACGACGAAGGTTATTATCGTTGCCGGGCCTGGATCGGCTACGTAGCAATCGGATCTATAGCGTCATCGTAGGCAGGAGTTGATCGAAGTGCCAAGCCCCGGGATGTCGAGCTTGAGATGTACGATCGGAAAAGAGCCGGAGTGGCTGGGTCTTTCTTATTTTAATCCACTCTACACGTGATCTCCCCAGTATGAGAAACTTGTCTATCGTTTACCCGGTACCTCTCAAACCTGAAAGCTCACCCTGAACTAACACAAGTAAGGAAGCAGTGCTCAGAAACTACATGTAGTACTGATACTCATTTTCACAGAATCTAGAAAGTGGCTTGCAATTGATAAGGCCTATATATAAGATGAGCTTGAATTGAAAGGTTTTGCCTTCCACAAGAGGGCGTCACTTGGCCAGGAATGACCGTCACAATGTTTCACTAGACTTAGTATGTGTTATGGGTTGGATACGGATAAGTTGATTCTACAGATGCAGGATCGTGTGAATGATATATACAATGCACTCTATGGAGTAACCGCTCACAATCAATGATATAATGATAAACAGGTGGTCTTCATGAGAGAAAAATCATCGTTATCACATGAATCCCTCGTAAACAATAATAATCAGAACGTCAAACAGCATCCATTAAAACCCTCGTTTGGTTATCCAAACGCAAGCATGAGTCGTTCCCCCCATACCGTACAAGCTCCGATAAAATAGATGGCTCAAGTAAAAGTCCTCTTAAGTAGTGAAGACAGAATATGAAAGTCCTCCAAAATGATTATTATGTCGTACTGGTATCGTTTTCCCACGCACCATCCCTATCCTATTCGCCTACCCTAGCCAACCCCTGTAAAAGAAAAAAATACTCTATGATGGTCATGAATTACAACTGTTTTCTTCTTTCTTTCTTTTTCTTGTGTATTTTAAAAAAGAATTACTCCTTGCGGATGTATTCCCTGCGGTAGAGCTCATCAACCTTGCTCAGGTAGTAAGCTCCCTTTGCGACGGTGTCGGCTGAACCGGCGGGAGTGAAGTTGCCCTTTCCGTGTACGTTGTGGCGGAGATTGCACATCTATTAAGAAGAAAAAAACCGATGTTAGTAACCACAAAAATATCAAAATCAACCAGGGTGGAACGAGGGAGAGCATACATCATCGTAAACCTGTGGCTCAACAACTCGCCTCTGCTCGAGTCTCTCCAGCAAGTTAAGCTTCTCAGAGATCTCCTGTGTGCTTCCGTTTATTCTCAGGGAGAACAGGGAAGCCGCCAACCCTGAACCGTAGGAGAAGAGACCAATTCTCTTACCCTGAAGATTCTCAGAAGAAACGTTTGACAAAAGAGAAACAAGTCCAGAGTAGACACTGGCAGTGTACATGTTACCGCACATCGTGGGCGCGGTCAAACCAGGCTGGACACGGTCCTGGAACCTCTTCTTGGCGAGACCCATGAAAGTCTTCTCAATGTTGCGGTCAGATAGCGATTGCTCGTAGTCGAGTTCGCGGAGGTCCGCGGGGATGGTGCTGAACTGCTCAGCCTCAGGAGTGGCCAAGAAGTCGTTGTATAGCAAGCGGGCATAAGATTTGGAGACAAGCTTGCAGGTGGGGGCGTGGAAGAGCATGTAATCGAATCGCTCGATGCCCTCATTTACAGTAGTGTGGCCATTACCATTGGCGGCGCCGTGGTGCTTTGCAGCGGCGGCGGCAAGGGTTGCTTCCCGGTTGTTGTACGCCTTGTAGCAAGCGTCAACAGCCTCGGTGTAGCAACGGATAGAGAAGTGGCCATCAACAACCGGGTACTCGCTTGTGAAGTCAGGCTTGTAGAAGTCATATGCGTGCGCCATGTAACTACCACGCTTTCCTGGCTCGAGGACAAGAGGGGCATCAGGACCGATAAGCATAGCAACACAACCAACACCACCGGTAGGTCTGGCAGCGCCCTTCTTGTACAGCGCAATGTCACCGGCAACGACAATCGCGTTGCGGCCGTCCCACGCGGAGGACTCAACCCAGTTGATGGCGTTGAAAAGGGCGTTGGTGCCACCATAGCAGGCATTGACGGTATCGACACCCTCAATGTTGGTGTTTCCAGATGGTGCAAAAAGCTGCATCAAGACGGACTTTACAGACTTGGATTTGTCGATAATTGTCTCGGTACCAACCTCGAGACGACCAATTGAGGTGGGGTCGATCGAGTACTTCTCAAGGAGCGACTTTGTGGCGGTCAAAGCGAGGGAGTAGATGTCTACATTGCGGGGTAAGCCATACGTCGATACAACATTCCCAAAAGGTTGCGAATATGGGCCAGCATACCTTCCCGGTCATCGCAGAAGGACATTTTTGTCTGTCCAAGACCGATGGTGTACTTTCCAGCGGACACGCCGTCGAACTTCTCCAGCTCGGCTTGGTCAACGCACTACATGATGATTGTCACGGTTAGCAAGAATTACAACTTCGATTGGGTCCATCAGACCCCACCCCCCCTTTTTTTTTCATCCCCGGGGGTCTCGGAGCAACAGGAGACCAACTCACCTGGCTGGGGAAATAGATTTCCATGGCCTTGATGCCGACATTCTGAGCACGAGTACACATTATTGCTGATGTTGATTAAATGTTGAAATCTAAAGTTCTAAGGCTGTGATGTAAAAGAGCAATTGAGAAGGAACCGCAGTGCAGAAGGAGCTTGTAGGATGAATGGAGTGGATGGAGGGAGGAAGGGAGAAGGTAGGAAAGAGGATGAACGGTGGAAGGGCTCGTGCAGATAAAGTAGCTCTTGGGGTGGCAGAGCAAGAGGAGGCTAAAGGGCCTGAGCGGATGGGCGATTTTTTTGTTGTCCCCCCAAACGTGCGGTGACCAACCCCATTCAGGAACAGCACAACAGCAACGGCAGGTGGAGGCAGCTCAAGTCTTGGGAGAACCTACATCCTACTCTACACTTTGTGACAGACCAGAGGGTGCCCGTTGTGAGGTACATACATGTAGGTTGTGCATGTGGTGTATGTCCTCTATCTATCAACAGGCAATTCAAGAACGACTTGATCATCCCATCATCCCCATCTCTCCCAAAGGCTTTAGCCACTGCTGAGGATCCCATAGCAGATTCTCGCAAAACAAAAGAGCTCCGCAAACCCAGTTCACACCTCCACCAATTTCTGTGTAGCTACATCTCCAGAGTACGTGTTGTATCAGTAGCTACAAGTTACGAACACACTGTCCTCCGATCCCCGGCAAAGACTGAGACTCTGTGTTTCCTTGCGCCATGGGTTAGGGCTTGCAGCACCCTGCATGCAGCTCCGAGAAACGAGCAAAAAACTCAAGGGACCACCCCCCCCAAAATTCGCAATGCTTGCGGCATACATAGCCCCTACTGAGACCTTATCTCGTGCCCTGAACTTGGCAATCTTAAATTTCTCCCTCCCTCTCACCCTGAACCCTTCATGTTTCTTGTCGATCCGTGTTCTCCCAACAAACCAAACAAATAGAAAAAAAAGCCCTCTCATCGTACGATGTTTTTTTGGATGTATCTGGGCAATAGAACAGAGCTTCGTTGGGATTTCCGGGAGAAGCTCATTTCGGAGCGGGTGACCTTGCCCGACCTTTCTCTTTTTTCTTTTGGGACAAACCCCTGAACTACCATACATATGAGCGCGACTTTTTTTCTTCTTTCCTTTTTCTCTCACATCCATCCCTCGCTCTCGTTGGTTGCTGAGCAGGACCGTTGGGAGGATCCACACTCCTGGAAAGCAAAGAAAGAAAGCAAAAGAAAAAAAGAAAGAAAAACGTGAGAAGAAACCAATGCGAGTAGAAGTATTGCTGTATGATTTGCTGTTGTTTCTGCGACAGAGCCGCAATGGATAAGTAAGTTTTCGGGCGTGCGGGCAGCAGCATGGCCATCGTTCCAATGGAACGATGCCGGCTCCATTCACGGATTTGGAACCAGACCAGTCCCATTTCAGGGGCTACGAAAAAGGAAAGAGCTATATAGCATAGTAAAACCATTGAGTCTTTTGCTCTGCAATTCGCATATTTGGCGTCTCACTCGTGGTGGATTGATGAATTTCTGTTCCCCCAACCCATGCGGCTACATACTCATGTAGGGCAGGAAAATAAAGGCGCATCATAACCTGCAAGGCCAGCAAACACCCGCCGGCCGCTAGCGCCGCAGAAGGAACCGGACCGGGGGCACGCCTTTTCTGGTTTGGGCTTGGGACCGGAGGGGCCCAGCTTCTCGAAGCTCCAGTCATTGACCGTACTTCAGGAAGCTCTCTCCCTTCGATGATGTATTAGGTTACGGAGCTTATGATGCGCAAATGTTCTCTTTTTATTTATTTATTTCTGTTTCTACATCGCAGGGCAGTCAGGGCACGTGCCCCTAGCATTGCCTACGTACTCTAGTAGGGTTAGTTGCCTACGTAGTGGGGTGCGGGGAGCTTATTTTAGCCTTTGCAAAACCTTGATGAGGTCTCCAAGGACTCCCATGGCTGTGACTTCAGCTCCAGCACTGATCAGGGTGTCAGTACAAATACCAGTCGAGTCGAGGATGATTGAGCCAAGGAGCAACCTACCCTGCACCCTGCACAATGAGTGCCCTCTCGCCATATCTCTTGGTGTAGAAAGAGATGATGTTATCACTCCCCTTCAATCCCGCAATCGCCGAAGACTTATCGAAGCTACCCACAAACACGTCGTCAGCACCGCAAACCCCCAGAGCTCCACTCAAACATCCACCAACTTACGTCTTCAACCCCACACTGACCGCCTTCGTCCCGACGTCCAAGCTCCCCACAAACCTCGTCACCCCACCCGCCGCCTCCGCCTCCTCCTTCACCTTCTTCATCTCCCCATCGAAGCCCGCCAGCCCCTCCAGAAACTCCTCCGCCGTCGCCGCCGCAACCAGCGGCTCGGGCACCAACGACTGTATCGGAAACGCCGTCGGCGACTCGACCATCAGACCCGACAGCCTCGCGAGGATCGTCAGCTTCCTCGCCACATCCAGCCCATTCAGGTCGTCCCTCGGATCAGGCTCCGTGTACCCCAAGTCCCTGGCCTCCTTGACACACTCTGCGAAGCCCTTCCCGCCGTTATCGCCGCCCAACGGCGCAAACGAGTTGAACAGGAAGCTCATGGTCCCCGAGAAGACGCCCTCGATCCTCTGCACCTCGTCGCCCGTCTCGATGAGCTCCTTGAGCGTGCTGAGCACCGGGAGCCCGGCGCCCACGGTCGCCTCGTGGAAGACGTATCCGGCGCCGTCGACGCCGTTATTAGCGGACGCGCCGTAGATGGCGTTCCAGAGGGAGAGGTCACTGGAGAAGCCCTTCTTGTTTGGCGTGACGACACTGATGCCCGACTTGAGCAGGGCTGGGTAGTTCCCCGCGAAGCCGACGTCGGCGGTGTTGTCGACGAGGATGACGGGGCCGGGAGCGGCGGTCAGGAAGGAGAGGGTCTGCGAGAAGCTGGGGGCGGGGCTGGTGGCCGCGGTGCTCCAGGAGGTGAGGTCGATCCCGGCGTAGTCGGCGGAGATGATGGCTTGGGTGCTGCGCGCGATGAGGATGGTGCTGAGGGGGCGGCGGGAGGTCGAGGCGTAGGACGCGAGCTGGGAGATGAAGGCTTTGCCGACGCCGCCGGCTCCTGGTGGGGGTTAGTGCGTGGGAGAGGGACGCGCGGGGGAGGGGGGCTTACCGATGATTGCTACGTAGACTTTGGACATTGTGCTGTGTTGTGGTGGGGAATTGAGGTGGTGGTGTTTGTTGGAGGTGTTTTGGGGAAGCAATGGTGGGGCAATTGCGGGGGGGATTTGAAGACTTTTGAGCCTCACGGAAAACTGACAGACGAGCAGGGTTTGTTCAGAATGCGACCGGAGCACGCCATTCTGGATGGCAAAAAAAAAAAAAACTATGGGAATCACATCAGAACTCGCATAACTGGAGGAATATCTACGCATAGCAGTTGAACTGACGAGTGATAGACTGGGATGTGGCTATGCTAACAGTTGGGAAGTGGCTGTCATGGCGAGTGATATCTCATGCATGGGCTTGGCACCCGCGGACAGCTATGTAGCTACATACTGAACACCCTTCGCGGATTAGCGGCATGAGGTATTCTTACGCCTGGAATCAGTGGAACGCTCGTCTGTAGATATAAAAAATCACCCTCCGCGGGAGTGTATAGACCATACAGTCGAATCTCCCTATAAGGGTACGTCGGGGCCGAAATTAGTACCCTTATAAAGCGTGTGCCTTTATAGCAAGCGTTATTTTGTGCCCTTGTGGGGCGATTATTCTTATAGGAGGTGCCCTTATAGAGAGATTCGACTGTAGAAACATTGGAGTACCGATCAGCATCTCCAAAGCTTATCACTTCAACTATCGTAAACTACTGGCCCTAGTCTGTCGCTTAGACTCGCTTCCAGATTGGCGTTTTGGATTAGTGGTTTGGTGCATGTATGTACCTGGGTCAAAGACGAGGTGCAGTGCCGTAGTAATATGATAGTGGGATGGACAGAAGGCAGTAATTATAACTATAGATATTGGCGTATCTTAGATTGAAGTAAGAATAGATATGCCGTCTCGCTGAAGCAATACTTCGTCTGGCGTGTTGCAGATCCCAGAAAAAGCAATCTGGAAACATCCAACTAGCTCTAATACTCGGGTTCTGTGATTTGAGTTGTTACTCTACCGACTACATTCCAATCCTCGCTAGTCTATGGAATTTAGATTCTCTGTAGAGGAGTAGTTAACTACAGTGACAGACTGTTCTACTTTATCGCCGAACGTTAGAATGCGGAGATCCATCGATCCCTGCATGCCATGTCTCCCCCACCGTCTCGCGATTCGAGCCAGTCCCAGTCCTTGACTGTAGGATCGAGTCGGTAGGTACTTTACCTACATCCCCAGATTACTGAGATGCTTGCTTTTTGTCGACACCGCGTATTAATAATTCCTCACGTGCCACCCACCACCCATCTGACGTTGTGCTGTCTTGGATGACGTGAGCGCCCGCAACGTCTCCGCCTGTCAGTCCCTCGCTCACAGTCAAAGAAGAAGGTGCCTTATTCCCGGAACCTGTATAACTGCTGCCGACCGGTGCCCCAAACCGCCCTTTTGTTTCCCACGATGCTCCTCCTCCGCCCCCCTCCTTCTCCTCTTCATCTCTTCATGTGTAGTGTGCGCAGCAGTAGCAGTGCCAGCCTGCACACCGTGGATTTCAAGGTACAAGGATAACCGGCATTTATTCACCCCGTCCCTCCGTCCGTGCGGCTACACTTCGTGACTACACTACCTACGTACTACACCACCCACTATTACTCTACTCTGCTCCACGGGTTTCGATACTCTGCCCAGAAAGTAACGCCAAAACCTAGCTTCCCCATGGACCTCTACGCCGCCAGGCTCCGCGAGCTCCAGCCGCTCTGGAGCAGCGTCGAGAACTGGGCGGTTCGGCTATTTGTAATCACCTATCCTTCCCCTCCTTGGCCCGGCGGAGAAAGAGGCCTTTTTGCTGACGATGGCGCGGGGTGGCTGTAGTTCTTCATGGGTGCGATAACGCTGCTGCCGTGGGTGCTGCTGATCGTCTTTGATGCGGGGGTGTATATATGGCGGTGCCTTCTGCTTGCGCTAGGTCTGGAGGCGGGGGAGAAGATGGTGTGTATGGATGTGGATGCGGATGGGGGAGAGATGGGGGAGAAGGAGGCGTGAGCTCCGGTGGGTTGTGGGATGGTGGGGTGAGATGATGGGGTGAGATGGTGGGGTGAGATGGTGGTGGTATGGTGCGGGCGCGGGTGTAGGTGGGAGGCGGGAGGCGGGGTCCGGGAGGTGGAGGTGGAGGTAGGTAGGTGCTCGCCATCTGAGCGCGGTGCTGGCTGTGCTAACTGACAGGCAGGCAGGCTGTCGACTTTCTACTAGCTGGACCTGTCCGGTCCCGAACCTTAATTTGTGCCTGGGCAAAGCGCGCGCGGGCCGGGGGTAGCTGACATGTGTAGCACCTGCCTACCGACTGCCTGACCCCCTCCAGACTGCCTGGGACTGAGAAATCGAAAGTATGGGTGTATGTATCTGGAGTTCTTGTTCTTTCCTTCCTTTTTGGCAGTTGCTTCCTACCCGGTGTTTCTTTTCTTTCCGTTATAGATCTTCCCTTTCTACCGGCGCTGGTCCTTTCTTTCACGCTCACTCATGACTTGATGATGATGTACATGTATGTATGTAACGTATGTATCATAACCTGTATCTATCTGTTTACCAGGTTCTCCACATGTCCCGCGCGCGCACGTTTTCAGGCTGTTGGTGATCGAGGTCTCGCTATCTGAGGTCTGGAAGGTTCTCAAGAAAAAGGTGATAATGATTGGAGTTAGTCCGTGCCGCAGCTTAAGTTTATAGCTTCTTGAAACTAAAACATATGCTTAACTTCAATGTTACAACCACGTTAGTCTCGTACCCATCCCATACTTAGCAGCAAGCTGCTCGCCAGTAGGGTCTGGAACATTATCTTCCCGACAAATGTCGGCCGACACTCTCGTCGGCCTCTGAAATGTGACATCGGGCTCTGGATTGTGATGTAGGAGCCCGACTTGTGATATAAAGACCGACAATGTGATAAGAGCCGACAATGTGATATAAGAACCGACAATGTGATATAGAAGGCCGACTTATAATATAGAAGGCCGACTTGTGATATAAAAGCTTAATTTTGATGTCGGAAGTTAAAGAAACTTTATTTTTTGTATGTAAATTGAGCCCGACAGCCTCCCCAACAGCCCGGCACCCCATACAAAAAAATCTCGCCTAGCCCGCCCGCTAGAAGCATAGAAGCAGACGGGTTGGGGACGAGCCTACAACCACGTAGCCGCTGTACCGTCTCTTAACACCTATCACACAACGTCCGCGTGTGCAGGTAGCTACATGTAGCCCTTCCTTCGTCCCGCGTGTAGCGATAGTAAATCTATGAGATATGGGCTTGGAACCCCGGCCGAGTGGCATGTTTCGGCGGGCTCGGTGCCGCGGGGCGCAGCCACAAGATAACGATACCTTGGTAGCCGGGTAGTGTATCCACGTTGGGGGCGGTGCCATCTCGGCCACAGAGGCCCGCGCTTGTTACACAGGTATCTATCGGATCTAAGCCGGTATATAACCGTACTTCTTAACCTGGAGGACGTACTGTCCCTAGAGTGAGGATTAGCTAGCATTGTGTGATAAGCTTTGTCGACGGAACAATACCGCGTGGGGTCTGGCTAGCTGGTTATGGTTATGACTATCTTCTATATTCTGGGGGCCCGGGGGGGATTGCGTATAGACACGGAGGGACTCCGTGGGCCGGGGTGGTATTTCAATATATAATGCGGCGCCGAACCGGCCCGAGAAGTGACTCGAAGACCGGGTTGCCATTATATTGCACACAAGAACCATACCGGGCACTCGCTAGCCGAGCCTCATGGCCAACTAACGTTAATTTAGGAGAATCGTGTACATATAGTGCCGTAGTCTATAAGACGCGGGTGTCTCCCGCTTCCCATGCAGATACTAGGCTGTGGGTGCGGATATGTTCCCGCCTTGTTGTAGGAGGCGGGGTGGGGCCGCGAGCTTGAGACGGGCTGCTTGTAGGACGTGGTGGACTGTGGTATAGGGGTATAACTTGGGATTACAGCGGTAGCCTTGGTTTTGGGGGGGGCACATTATGAGGCGGAGCATATATATTTGCAGTAACAGTGTAACAGTGCTGGTAGAAATTGAGTCATGAAGTATCACTCGGTTGCCAAGACAGTTAGCACCAAGACGTAATTGTTTATTTATTGGTTTAATACCTAAGGCGCGGTTGTTGGGTGTTTGTTTTGTTTGTTGAATCTTTAAGGGGTTCTCGGGGTCGCGGTTCTGCGGTGTGTTGACTCGCGGGCGTGTGCGTGAGTGAGTCATGGCCTCCTAGTGCCGGGTGTGACGGGTGTGATGGGTGTGTGGGCTGGAGATATGACAGCGATGTAGTGCGTTTAGTGCTTGTAGAGTTGTTTGTTTAGTATATGGGGATGTGCTTGTAGTGGTGGTGCTGCGGATGCGTACATGTGCTGCGGATATCGATGTGGTGAGACCTAGGGGGCGTGTGTATAGTTTGCTCAATTGGGCAAAGCTGGAAGAAGGAAATTTCGACTATAGATAGTATTGTGATGTGTTGTACGGTAGCCGTGATGGTTTGAGACTCCAATAAAGAAGAATCAACCATAGTATATCGATCTCGCGGTAGCCCAGAGCATTATACTATAACGACCATACAAATAGTAGAAGACCATGGACAGAGCTAGAGTGCGGCATATATCCGGGTATCGATATAGGGTCGTTATCCTGATCTTTGTAAACTTGGTCGCTCTGCAATCATATCATATCAGTCACGAGTAGATGCGGGGGGCTCGGTTTTCCGCTAGGTGCGTGTGTCCCGAGGCGTGCACTCCTTCGGATTGTGGGCAGTATTATTCTCGCTTTCAACATAACTTTGCCTAGGGTTTGCCTTTTGCCCGGTGCTGGGACCTTTATTAGAAACGTAAATTCTTTTTCGAAATATAACTTTGCCTAGTACTTGATCTAGCTACCAGGTGCCTGGGTCTCGGGTATAAATGATGGGCACGAGACCCAATTCCCGAGACCCCCGAGTGATGCCGAATGATCCAAAATAAGGCACCATCATGTTCTGCCAAGATGGTCCCCTGTTTGCTGCTAGATATTATTAAGGATCAAAATCTAGATTTATGGAAAAATTCTTACCTCAAATCGGGGTTGAGTTGAGCTTATATCAGTCTCGATATTCATCTCGAGACTTCCAAGGCTAGGGTGTGACAAGACGAAACAAGTCGAGACTTAGTCAGGATCCAAAATGATCTCGTTTTGTCTCGTATCCATCAGTAGTCTCGGGAATTATACCCCCCCTCCCTCCCCTCTCGAGGGTTTTCTTCTTAAGTTTCCCTTGAGGCTGTTTAGCTAGGTAGATGGTCTTCTCCACAACCAATAAATACATACAGCTTTCTGTACCTTAGCTGGAATCGTCAACGAGAGTGTCTTTTTATGGCATGTACGTTATTAGTCTCGTTCTCTAACTATGCGGTTTATTCAGAATCTGGTGTACTCAGCGTTTTCTACGATACCATGCCGTAGTCTCGTCCCGTCCTGTGATATTCATGGCCACTCTTCGAGAGAACCGAGTGACTGACTGTGAGCCAACCCACACCAGAATCTCATAACGAAGCCAATATACCTATTCGTTGGTGCTGCTACATATAGATGCGAGTTTTTATAATTGGATGATGGAAGTGCACAATCTGCTGCCGAAAATTAGCTGCTGCCTTCACGTTGGGGCTTGGTGGTGCATGGTGCCTTGGACCGGATCTTCTACTAGCCGTTTTGCTGGTATCTTGCTAGTTTTCCGGGGCCGGTCCTAGCTGAGGACAGGGGGATTTGATCTGGAGACGTCTCATCCAACGGATGGTACTAGCTTAATCTTTTCCCGAAGAATGTTCGAGTCATTTGGGAAGGGACAAGCGCCCATTAGAGAGTTTAGGAGTTTGGAGAGTTTTCCTTGGCGAACTTAAGAAGATTTAAGGTTCACCGGAGATATTTAAGGTTCAGATACATGTATGTACAGATACACGTATCTGCTGATATGTAACTTGCTAGTGCGGGGTATTTTCGGTGTGTGCGTGTGCTGGGCTAAAACGCGGGTGTTCACTACCACGTCCGACTTTTCTTCTCCCTCTCTCCTTCTCCACACACGAACATCACAACCACCATCCTTGTTTTCATCAATACCGAATCTATCGTGACATACCAGTTCCATCTTCAGTTCTTTCTTCAATCCCCCTGCTCAACCTTAGGCAGTGCATGCCGCTATATGCGCCTGACATACCTGTGGATACGATGTAGCCACCGCCATCATCCCCAAATCCACAAAAATGGATGGACTTCCCCCGTACTGTGGGCCCTTCTTACACGTCTCTCTCTGGAGATATACTTTTCAACCGACTTCCCTCCAGTATCATCGATTCAATAAAATTTACCACCACATTCATCAAATTCGCTCGGTTTATTCCACAGGCAACTGTACTCTCATATATTCGTGGGAGATACAGCTCTTTACTGTCCTATCTCTATCCCAACAAAAAAACCTCGCTTCATGTCTAGCTGTGAGCCCTGACCTATCTGACCCTCCTCCGCCCTGACATTCTGGCCGGCCCCGATAATCCTTTAGGTCGTCTCTTTATCCTGAAACGGGCAGGAATTTCTGGACTAGATTGGTGTCACTGATTGATCGGGCGAGCTTTTAGATATCCTAATATATGTTTGGCGGATGGGAATCTTCCGGAGGGTTCGCCACTCACAATCTATCCTAAGACTCAACGAATCGAGCAGCCAGCCATCAATACCAAAACATAACGAAACACTCTTTGGTGTATTTTGATGAACTTTTAACAGGCTTTCAATAGCAAAAAGCTACCAAGACACCCGGTATATCTCAAACGATTTTAAAAAATAGCATCATCAAATATCACGCGGTAAACTATGACACCATCACGAATTAACATAGTGAGTGCCCTTCCCACGGGGCCAACAGAAACTACATATGCTATTGAGATTTATATTTAGGTGGACACTGCTTATGTTTTATTTAGTGGATGAACGGGAGGGGTCTTAGATAAGCTGTCTGTTATGCCTTAGGGTATCAAACACTGGCTATCACTCGATCATCAATAAGCGGCGAATGCATCGGGCCGGGGTATTCGTTGCCTGTGTACTCGCTCGTTACCGAAACCCCGTGGTTAGAAGGCGGAGAAAGTCAGGGCTTCAATAACTTACCAGTCATCACCATTTCAACAAATTAGAAACTAAAAACCGTCATACTATAACCTATGATCAATGGCACGTGAGATGATAGCCGCCGACAATTTCTGGCTACACAAAGACTCTTCCAAGCTTACGGAACCTAATAGGAAAGGGTCACATATCCCAGACATACGACATTCTGTTCAGCTTAAACGAAATCGCGGGTGTGAGACCCATACATAAATGGAACCCTGTATCCATGGGCGTTCGATAGCCTGGGGGGCTTAGTTGGAGTGCGCGCTCTATTCCAAGAAAGAATTGTACCCCAATTACGCGATAAAACTATGCATATCGTAGGTATCAATATCGCAATCGTATTGCAAAATGACAATCGTCGTTCTTACTGGTCTGACGACTTAATCTGACACCAAATTCCCTTCCCGTTGAACAGAATATGGGTCAAAATATCATCATAGACCGAGAGGATGGAATTAGCTAAAACCAATCAAATGTTATCTTAACGAACCGTCACTGCGTTATTCATCTGTAAGGTGCTGCAGTCAAGGGTTTTCGCAAATATATCTAGACGTTCTCTTTATGGATCCAATGGATAAGAAAGCTCAAAAGGGTTCAATTTAAGAACACTTGCCAACAATTAAGCTAGGAACTTTTCCCGAATGGCGAACCTCAGGGAAAAAAGACTATCAATATTTCTGGCTAGCGTATAACAATCACCGAAGCTCATACCATAAACAGAGGAATACAACTATACATCAAAAGTCCTATTACTAAGACTATGGGGTCGAAGAAAGAATACTAGAAACAATGTAGCAGTCAACTCAACTACCAATGTCTCTAAATATGATTAGAGGCATAAACAAGCAAGAAACAAGGACCCTAGTTGTACTGGAATATATATCGCAATGAGCCGGTGTCAAAGGTAAATTGCACTTACTACTTTACAGAATACATCTTGACTACCAAAAGGTAGGGGGGAAATGTCGAAGGTGCGACAGCCGGTACTATGGATCTTAGAAATTATGCGGGTATCGGCAAATATAACTATGACAATGATGGCTGATGAAGTACGTGGCAAGTAAAGATGCGATTGTTGCCGATATGCAAGGCCCCGCACGGATATAAGCTTTACCCCGGGTTGGGGGTGTAGATCCTGCGGGCTCCTCTTTTGTTCTTGCTTTATAGAAACCTGTTCTATCAGTTAGATTCAAGGCTGATTTTTTGGGCGATTAGAGAACTGGAACTATATTTGCACTCTCTGATGAAATTTAAAATCATCTTTAACCGAAATATTGAATAAAGTGGAGTAGGTATAATATACCCGTACATTTTGAGTACATGGGTAGCTCGACAGGAGCTTTAATTCACCTGCAGCTGGTCCATGCACTCACTCGCTGAGTACTTTAGAGTTGCTGTGTGGTTCATTTCTTGGTCTACGATGCGGAGCAGGGATTGGTTGGGAGACGAGAAAATTAATACGGGCGCATATAGATTCGGGATCTAGGATGTATCTTATATATGACTGAAGGGATATTTACCCGTACTGCGCAACACAATACCGATACTGATATCTCCGATATAGTTTCTGCCGGGCCTATTCCCCGAGAACAATGGAAGAATCAAGGAAAATAATGTTTATCCAGAGTTATGTACAATTCCTTTATCCTGTAAGCTTAACGTCATCGCAAAGACTTAGACTAGGCTACAAGGTTAACAGGCTTCACTTCGGAGAGGTAAAAATCTTCCCGATGAAACGGAAAGTTGGACACCGGCAGGTTGTAACCTCAACTGAGTTAACTTTCCCCTCCTGATCTGCGTCATGATACATCACTCGTCCCATTCTTCCGCAGAGTGTACATACACCACTGGACTACCAAGTGTCTTATGGGCCATATACAGCTCGAGATCTTCGTGTCGGCAATTATTTATGGAAGAATACCTTATAATGGTTATTCAAACCAGCTGTTTACTCTATCATCTATCTCGGCATATTCCACAGTCAATATCGAAACGCTACTCTATCATGCCAACTATCAAATAATATGTAGAGGTAATGCATTGTATTATATATAATGCTCCTCTGGCCTCGCCTTTGGATCGACATGGAAAAAAGATAAAGTTGTTGAGTTGATACTAAACACGTACGCCTAAAGTAAATTGCTACTCAAATAAACGATTAGGGGATCCTACTTCAGGTCCACGTTTAAGTGGATGTACACCTTAGCATCTTGGGTCTACATTCAAGTGGATATAATAACCTTCAGTTCTAGTTAATGGTAAATTTCAAGAGAATATATACTATACAATCGCGTGATGAGATTTGAAGCCAGGCCACCGGCCAGTTTTGTTGCCAAGACAAGCGCAATCAAATCCTTCCAAGAAAAGAAAACGCTGGAGAAACAAAGAAATAAATTGACTTTCTATCCAAGATATCGCACACCCAGAAAATCGTGGACATAATGTGCCAAGCCCGATGGTAGTAGTTACATGTATCCTGCAAGTTTGGTCGAATATTAAAGCTTACTGAAGCGTCGGGATTTTAATGCGTTAAAATCTTGTTCATCGCTACAGGGACTTTATTCCTCTCAAGAATACTAAACAGGAAAAGATATATTAACTTATATTGATCGATGATCATGCACATCAATCCTGAATTGATGTGCACAGCGGTGAGTTCCTTAATCTAATACACGACCCCTAAGTATGAAAAAGGCCAATAAAATGCCATGCCCATGGAGACGGTATGAAAATCTCCGCAGCGAAGGAGAGACATCTTACATATGTATGTGTCAAAGCGTTGATACCGAGAAATACTTCTCATGGAACAGTACGTGCGCTCTCTTGGCAAATGCACGGTAATTAATGATGGCGATCTGAGAGATGGCATGGGATGATCCAGAGTTTATGGCTGACGGGTTTTCATCTTTCCAAGCTGTCTCAATAGTTTACAGTCGCATACTGTTCGTGGAATAGCTTTACATTCATCGATATCATTGATACTACTAATAGTAGTGGCCCCTTGTCGTAGCTGTTCCTTCAATTTTAAGCCTTGGGTTCCACAATACTAGAGCAAAACGGCACGAAAACTATTTTTTCCCCGAAAATATAAAAAAAAAAATGTACCTACATCAAGGGGCCACATAGTCGCTCCTGTAATGCCAAGCCAAATCGTTCTGGAGGACAACGACATGGATATTTACTGACTGATCACATCCATGCCCTGGTCAACAACGGACCGTGTGTCACAAACAATCACTCGCCTGCACACAAGAAACCGGCATGAATGCCGTTACACCAACAAACATCTCGGGGCCACTTCCTACCGAGTTCGAATTAGATATAAATAAACACTTCGATTTTGAGATAAGTATTTTATTGCAGCGCTGATCATATCTATCTACCCTTTCTTCTTTTCTCTGTAGGAATATTTGCTAAGCAATAATCATGTTAGTAGTAAGACAGCGATAAAAAAGTTTCGAATTCACGATCGCAGCCCAGGAACCAAAAAGGGTTTTTTTTTATAATCAATTGCAATTGAATTACAAATACTATAAAGAGAGTTTTGGTCCAGTAAGGACCAATGGAGACCCCGCTATACCACCGCTCTTCCACCACCTAAAAATAATAAGAAATCCATAAAGTCGATCCCCCTCCATCCCTTCCTTGTTGCCTGTTGATTTTCCGCACAAGTTACAGCCACCCGCAAGAATAAAGAAAACTAAAACCAAAAGATCGTCGACTATCCCCTAGCCAGTATACTCTATGCTGCAGTAGCCACCCCCAAACACTAGTATAGTGTGCGATCTGTTTACAAGATCAAACCAAACAAGCTGCAGCAGAAGCAAGTGGCGCCTCCGAGAAGGGAGACAAGAAGGGTTACGACGAGGCTGAGCAATCCATCGATAACGAGGGCGAGGACGACGAGAAGACCGTTGATCGCAATCTTGAGCTCAACAAGAAGGGAGGCAACAAGAATGATGACGAGGGAGAGGATACCACCGACTATAGTTAATCTGTCAGTATATAAAGCTTATGAAGAATGAGCAGAAGAAGATGAGGAAAACATACGAAGACCACACTTTCCGAGCAAGAAGGTAAGGCAAATATTGATGGCGATGATAATCTCCACTACAAGTTTAACAATGATGCTGATGACACTGGTAGGGCACTTCCATCCGCTGGGGATAGTTCCCTTGATTGTGCCGGTCCACTTGACAATGATGACTGCGCACTCCTTCTGCCAGCTGATAATGTCATTGCTGGAGCAGCTTCCGCTGCAGGTGCTGGTCCACTTTTTGTGGCAGGTATCGAGCTCAGTTTTGCAGCTGGTGAGGTGCCCAGTGATGGCATCGCTGGTAGTGTCGCGGACTATGAGCTCTGGAGCGGGAGCTGCGACGGGGGAGGCAGCAGCGAAGACGCTGAAGATGGCCACGACGGCAGAGAGGATGAATGAAGTACGCATATTGACTGTTGGTTGTGGTGGTGGGAGGAAGAAGAAGAAGATATTAAAGTGAGAGTAGTAGTGGTAGTAGTGAGTGGTAGTAGTGAGTGGTAGTGGTGGTAGGCGGATGAGGAGTGAAGAGCGAGGTGAGGAATTGACTGATGGGGGAAGATTGTTGAGTCTTATATAGAGAAAATCGAATAAGTTAGGTTAGTAGGTTAGTATGTTGATTGTCAGTGCGTCTCCCGTACGGACATCCAGCAAGCAAGCTAGCTAGTTGGAATTTCCGTATGGGTATCTCGATGCAGTATCTTTGCCCTCCTACCTCCCCTGGTAAGTTTGTTCAAGGATAGTTTTTTTTCTTTCTTTTTTCTCTCACTCTCTTTCTCGCTATCTTCGATGTGCATATCTTTTTTCCTTCAAATGCCGAAATTAAACCTAGAACAGGAAAGAAAAAAATTATCTCTACTATTCCTTGCCGTAGCACAGGACCTCTGCATCTAGACCAGAGGAGTTGTTTTTTCTTCACTGTTTTTCTCGTTTTCTTTTCAATTCTTTTTTTGGGAATAAGGCATTGGCTTTGATGAAGTCGGTGGCGGGTTGATCTTAACTGTCTGTCCTGTTTTGGCATGCATGAGCAAGTAATTTAACTATCTAACTGACTAGCTATACAGGATACGGCTGTACCATCGATCCTCTTTGAATTGTTCTACCATAATAATATTACAGTGCACTACTACTACTGCTGCTCTAGTGTATCCTGCCTATCTAGCTACCATAGATACCCTAAACTCTTCTAGATCTCCCTTGGCCTTTGGATTTCAAAGAAACAAACATTTACAGTACAATACTCGGAGCTACACGGAACCCTCCTCCCCATGCAGCGCCTTCCAAGGGTCGGGAGTCGGAGGTAGGGAGGTAAGTGTAGGTACGGTACTCTATCGATATCGCACCCAACCTACCCACACACCTACCCACGCACCTACCCACGCACCTACGTATATGTACGTACCTGCACCTACTAACGTAGCTTTCCCACCTCCCGAGGGAAAACCATGGCCAATTGATACTGCAGCTAGTACACTATAGCAAGAAAGCATAGCTGCCGATCCGATCCTAAGAGATCAGCGTCAATATCGTCCCAGGGGCGAACAGAAAAAAGGGGTGGAGGGGTGGTGGTGTTGGTGGTGTGTGGTTCTGATCATTGGCTTTTTTTCTCTGCACTCTTTTGGTTTTTGAGGGTCTACTGTGGATACTTGATTGTTCTTTGATTTTTTTCTCTACGTATGACCCCGATTTTTTTCATTATTCTTTCTTTTTTGTTTTTGGGCGTACGGTAGGGCTTAGTTAGTTCTATAGGGGCGCCGGAGTATTATTGCGTTTTCTTACTAGTGGAACTGAGTCAAACGGTCGCGCGCCGGTACGGTACGTACGGCGCCCACGAAGATGAGACAGACAATGGGGAGTTAGGCCTGCTGCCATGGCGGTGTACCAGTGTCAATGTCGCGTGGAGAGGGACGTGGGCGTCGGCTACATGTAGTAGTGGTGGTAGTGGTAGTAGCAGGATGTAGGTTGTTGGTGAGTGTGTGGAAGCTAGAAGCCCCGTGGAAGACACACGGACACTGCAACCGCGCGCGGGCCTACTGTAGTACCTACAGCTAAGCTACTACTAAATAAACCACAACTACATGTACATACTAGTAACTAAACCAGCAAACTAAACAATCTAACCAGCATCACCGCCGCAAATCGGAAGAGTACCTCCAATGCGGTGTCTCGGACCGAAAGGCTCTCAGGTTTCGTATTTGGCAGAAAACTGGTCACTGAGGCTGGCTGTCATAGCTACAGAACTTACATAGTGAGTTCTTTTGTTTGCGATTTGTGGGAGCTTATTTCCGCCCCCCGTTTCGTTATATTTAGCTCTTCGCTTAACAATTGCGGTGGGTATAGCAGCAGTGCAGTGGTAGCCGATATCATATCTGTCTGTCTATCTGGGTAGCTGGTTTGTTTGTGTATCCTTCTTCTCAGCTGAATTAAATCACGATCGCAAAAGAAAAAGAGCTACGGCGGTCCGTCCCTCCGCTAATTAGCTGGTGACTTCAAGATGACGTCTTTCATCGTGTAGCTGGCGGTCTGGCCGCTAGCTACATACATACTTACGATAGGAAGATATTGCTGGGAGGCAAGCAGGAGTCAAGCTTTACCAGCCGGCCAACAATCAGGTAATCCCTCTCTGCCTGGGCGTAGGTAGGTACACCCATCCCTCCACCCACCCTCCACCCACCCACCCACCATCCATCCATCCATCCACCCACCCATCCATCCATCCATCCATCCAGTGAGTGATAGTAGTACAATTGCAATACACTCCATCACTCCTCCTTTCCATATCCCGGGGGAAAGCTAGCAGCCTAGAAGAACAAGGAACATGACTAGCAAAACCTACCGCCCTCGGGAAACTAGGATTCCAGATCTCAGGTAACACACTGCAACTAGGTTTGTTGTTCAAATTTTCTGTATCGGATAATTATCCGGACGATCATCGCCTTGTCTGGTAGGCGAGAGGGGGTGGTGTGGGAGATTTTAGGCAGCGGTGAAGGGATCAGTTGCTTTGGCTCAAACTCACTCAGGGAAGATGCAGGCCTTCAGAGATGTGCGGTGCGCGGTGTTCCAGAAGGAATTTGTGGGTACGGGTGTGTGTGAGAGAGAGAGTGAGACTTCAAGACAAGTGAAATTCCCAAGTAGATATTTTACTAGTAATTGTCGTAATCTGATTATCTCACTTCTTGGCATCTACTAATTAATTTATAACCGCATGCAGCTAGCTACAACGACTACTATTGCTACTAATCTAAGAACAACCTCTCCCCTTCTTCCCCTTTACCCCACGCACCCCTGGAACGAACATATTCCACTTGCCTCGGGACGCCACGGCTACGGCTAGATCTCGGTGCGCTACTGACTGGCGGCGGGAACTTGCTAATCACGGGTTAGTCACATATATACCTACCGGATATCGGGATGGGTTAAGTTGGTAGAGTAGAGCAGGTAGAAGTAGAGGAGGAAATTGTAAGCTTGTCGAGGGCCAGGCGTCGATCTGGGTTCATGGTAGTTGTTTCCGCATGAGGTGCATAATATCCGGTGCTATGCTATTAAACAGCATTACCAACGACACCGACGACGACAAATATCGGACGTATCCAACTTTTTTCCAGAAGAAAAAAGGCCCCAGAGCTTGAGACGTGTCGGCCTTCTGCCCACACTCGTCACTCTGTTTCTATTTTTGATGAGTGCGAGAGGGTGTCTAGGTTATGCACTCTAGAGTAGCTCGAAAGCAAGATCTAGGTACAGCACTCTACGCGATTGGCCTCAAATCTCCCTCGCCTCCCCTTGGCGCGTAGATCTCCCGTGCAACAATGAGAAGGCCTGTTTTGGCGGCGATGTGTAACTTTGCTCTCTCTTTTTTTTTTGACAGCCTTGACAGGTAACGCATAGCCCAAACTACCGATATAGCCGAAATCTGTGTAACGGTGCAGATCTTAACTGTGCGAACTGCCGTTCATGTAGTGGGCCGGGTGTTAAAGCTGGTACACTACATATATGCATATGTACACCATCACCATCACCGCCATAAAAGTTCCGTTGGAGGGACTGATCGTATCTGGCAAGTCTAGGGGTCGGTTTACGGCGTAAGCCACAGGAACAATGCCAAATGGGTACTTGCAGTTATTGATTTGAGTGGCTTGCACTGGAGATCTTGTCGGTGCATGTTGGCAAGCTATGTACTCGCGATAGGCATGAAGAACCTGAACATCGTTTTTCTGGTAGCAACCACTTTGACCCCTGCTAGCGCGTTTTTATGTTCAGGTTCTTGTTACCTGCCCCGAGTACATGTAGCTTTTGAGGTATGGATCCCAAAGGGTAATTTTGGCCCCCCCCCCCCAAAACCCACCCGCGGAAATTTTGGGGAGTCAAGTACCCGAATATGACAGATTCTACTAGCAAGACGGCTAGGAGATGAAGCATCTGTAGGTACAACTTCTTTTTTTTTTTTTTGCTCCTACCTCAATACCCCTCCCCCTCGGGCATCGGGGGAAGTGACGGCGCGCGCGGCTCTCGTTCGTGATACATGGCAGCAGTACCCTATGTAACATCGACTATTCAATTGGAGTACACGCCGCCATGAAAAACATCGGGGGCGGCTGCGGTCGAAAGAGCGCTGCGCATAGCTTCCGGCCCCCATATCAGATCATAGACTCGAAGCCGATCGGGGTCGGGTGGCAGTTACTTGCCATGTCTCAGTCTCGGTCTCATGCTCAGTCTCACTCTCGGACTCCGCTGCTGACTGATTACTCCGCTCAGAGAGATCATATGATGATTAGCTATAGCAGGTCTGAAGGGAATAGTAGGAGTGTCGGTGTCTCATTGTTATCCGTTGTTTGATTTGAATCATACGAGTTTCAACTCTACACTGTATAATTGTACTGTACTGTCATGGCGTGGCGAAGGAAAAGGCTTGTGAGGCATATGCGCAGGTGTCGAATTCGATTGACAATACATGATTGAGGGCGAGCAGCACGTGGAGGGTAGTCGCAGGGGGAACCTTAACCATGGAGACAGATCTGAATGGCTATATGGGTGATCGTCATAAGAGGGTCGGATATAGCGATAGTAGCCGGGATCATTTGTACAGATTTTGGTAGAATTAATGCGAAAGTGGGTTTTCCCGTGACCCGATAGTCCCATTGGCCCTCAAAGGAATTTTTGCAGTGAGCACGGGCCAAGAAACCCACCCTTTTAGTTCTGACTTTCGCAATAATTCTACCGGACACTGTATGTGCGGCCGAATTGGGCTTATGCTGCCCTTTTTGGCTTGGGGGGGGGGCAAACTGCCTCCAAGTAACAACCACCATACAAGCTCCCACAATCATCAAAACCACCAACCGAGGACTAACTACAGCTACATGTACAACCGTACTACTCTGTGAACTGTATGTAACTAACTCGATAACCAGCTCAAG